TACCTGTGGTTTAACGGAGGTCAAAGCAGCTTCTGAAGCAGGGCAAGCCGTTTTGGTGGCCCTCTTCTTAAAAGGTACTGATGTTGAAAACTGAGGAAAGAGACACAGAAATTATTAAAAAACAAAACAAAACAAAACAAACAAAAAAAAAAAAAACAAAAAAACAAACCTTTGCAGTGTGAGGCTCAAGAAGCTCAATCGGCTTAATTTAATTATTTTTATTTTTATTTGAAGAATAGTGTGAGTGGCCTTGATAACAATGTAGAAGTATCACCGAGCAGGGGAGGCGGGGAGCAGGTAGGCTGGGTGCTTATCTGAGGGAAGGATGATAAGAGCTGGCGCCCGCAGTCTGAAAGCACGGGAATCAAACTGTAAATTAAGCATCCTATTAAAGGGATTAATGCTGGAACACGTGTCCAGGGGTGGTGGCACATTCCCCTTCCTATGATGTCCTTAGATCGAGGACATGTCGTTTTCTGGGAGAGGTGCTTCAGTCCAATATAAAAGATCTGTGCTCTGGCCAAGGGTAACGATGGGATGGCAGTGGTTATCATCTGTTAGATGCCCAATAAGGACTAGACTGGGCTGCATGTGCCAATTTGTTTATCTGACATTTCCTAACTAGAAGTTTAATCTCTACAACACCAATAATGCTCTTTAGCACTGATAAAATTGAAAGGACAGCAGGCTCTGTGTTACTGCTGCAGAACGGAGTTTGATTTCTGCTTGTCATGTGCAGGTTCCTCCATTTCATGCAAAGGCAAGCAGCTGGGGTTCTGACCCAGCCACGATGCCTGCTCGTACAGCACACATGCAGCTCTGCCTTTGGGAAGGTTTTTAAAATAGCAGTAAATAATGCTAAAATAATACTAAATGTTTTGTAAGAAAAGAGAAAAGTCTGCATATCTGAGTAACAGTACGGTAGGGTATATGCAGTGTGGTATTTGGTAGATGAGCTGCACAGAAGTGAGGCTTTGGATTAAGAGAAAATCATTTCCAGGTTCTCATATCCATCCGCTCCATTGCAGTTTTTGGATTACATGTTGCAGTGGCTCTTCCCAACATCAGTGCAGCTGTTGCTTTATTAGGAGCTCTGACAGAGCCGCTTTGCCTAAGATGCACAGAGAGAAACTCTTCTTCCAAACCAAGCGCTGCCTACCTATGAGCAAGGCACTGCCTGCTGTGTGTGCCATCCCCCCCGAGGTGAGGGACTTCCCTGCTGCCACGTCAGATTTGTGTGGCAGCTTGGGATCCTGCACACTGCCTGAGCTCTGTGTGCATCCTTAGCCATGCAGGCGAGCATTCCTGTGCTAATAAGGTCACGAGTAATATTCTGCAGTGGCTCAGGTTCCTTTGGTGATGCTGTTGGAAGTTGCTCAGGAACTCAACTCGATTTTTTGTGTGGGTGGCTCTAAGAAACATTACTGTTTGGGTTATTTAGTTGTGCTGTCTGTATAAGCAACTTACTGCTGGACAGTCTTGGGCTCTCATAGAATCACAGAATTGCAGGAGTTGGAAGGGACCTGAAGAGATCACTGAGTCCAACCCCTGCTAAAGCAGTTCCCTACAATTGGTCACACAGCTCAGTGTCCAGATGAGTCTTGAATACCTCCACAGAAGGAGACTCCACCACCCCTCTGTGTAGCCTGTGCCAGTGCTCCACCACTCTGAGTGTAAAGAAGCTCTTCTACACGTTAGAACAGAACTTCCTATGTTCAAGTTTTAGGCTATTGCTCCTTGTCCTATCACTGCACACCACTGAGAAGAGCCTGGCCTCATCCATTTGCCTCCCAGCTCCCTTCAGATATTTACAGACATCATCAGATCCCCTATCTCCCACGAACACTTTAGAGACTGCAGTTCCCAACTGCCTGCTTTTGCTAATGGTGATGTGCTGAGGACCCCATGTGTGTCTGACAGATACCAAGGTGGTCACCAGTACCTGAGGGAGTTTTCTCAGCTCTGAGGGTTGTTCACATCATGAATGTAGAGTGCCTAAATCAGAGCAATGCGACATCTCCTTTCTCAAGGTGTGTAATCTCAGCTGAAAAGTCAGCTTCCCGTCTTCATCTGTGACTTACCAGCAGTGCTCCAAAGGCATTTGGCGCTTGCATTAACGACTTTGTCGTCACAAGCCTTCCCGAGCCGCCACCTGGTTGGGTTTTCTCTTTGCTTTTTCAGGGTCAGCATGATTCCCGCACGCCTCCGTAAAGAGGGAAACTTGTGAAACGACGTGTCCCCTTCACCCCTGTCACAGCCGGCAGCAGGTCCTGCTTTCAGGGAGGGCAGCGCTGGGCGGCCGGCTGTTGGTGGTCGGGCTGCGGGTTTCTGCTCTGTCGCTGCCGGTGCGCTGTGATTCCCGGCAGCCGGGCCAGCGCGGTTTCGCCCTCTGCCAGTGCTCAGGGCTGCCATCAGAAGGGCAGTGCCGGCAGTGCTCACACTGCTTTCCATAGCACACACGGAGCGCTCGGCTCGCTGCGGGACTCCAGGAATGAGCGCGCACAGAGGATCCGTGTAGCTGCTCCTGCCTGCGCGCAGGGTGCCGGCTTTGGGCTCTGCCCCCTGCCCGCGCTCTGGTGCTGCCAACTCTTTTCCAGGTAACCTCTCCCTTTCCTACCGCCTGCTCTGCAGGACTTGTCCGCAAGGCGCTGGGGTTCGGAATCAACCTCTTGGTAACAGAGTCTGTGAGCGAGTAGGGCCCAGGATTCGGGCTGCCCGGTGCCAGGCAGGAGGCACAGGGCCGTTTCCTGGAGCTGTGCACGCTGTCGTGTTCTGTGGGTGCCTGTGGCTGGACTGACCATGATGGTAACTGCAGGTGAGTGAGGCATGATGCCTTCTCAAATAAGAGAGGACTTGATTTTGTTTCAGTAGGCACAGATTTCTCTTTATTCTCTTATTCCCCCCTCAGATACCGTCTTTTTCTCCACTGTTTGTATTTCTTTTTGGCAGTGGTGCCTGGACAAGGTCACCAAGAGGCAGGAAAGCCCTTCAGTGCACATCCAGGGCTCCACACAAATTGTTTAGGGCAGAATCTTTTCGTGTTCCTGATGTGTAGTGGTGGGATGTCTACAGGTTGAACTGTAGCAGAGGCATTAAATGCTACCGTGTGGCTTGATTTTTGAAGGAGGATCTGAGACCCTGGGCTTGGCCTCAACACTTGAGGTCCTGATGTTGGTGCACATTCCTTGGATGGAGATGTGAGCTGAGCCCTGAGTTGGGGAGAGGTGCTGTGGGGCTCAGGGCAGAGTGGTGTGCAGCCCTGCCCTGCACTCAGCAGTGCCCTGTGCCTGGGGCAGGAGCTCCAGCTTGGCCCCAGTGGGGCATGTCCTGGTGCTCAGCAGCATGGGGCTGCCTGGCAGCCCACCGGGAGTGTCCTGTGTTGGCCAGTGTGAATGGGACCATGGTGCAGCATCATGGTCCACATCATTGCCTGAAACTGTCACCAGCGGCTCTTCTCCTCGGTAGCTCCGACTCTGTCTCGTAGTGGACAGGAACTCACAGGATGAGGACCTGGCCCAGCTGGCTGAACATGCTCTCTCCTGCCCTGCTCAGGTTCTTCCCCTCGGCCTCAGCACACTGAGCACTTGGGAGCTACACACCATTTTGTGGATGGGGAACTGAAACGCATGCAGGCACTTTCATTTGGGTTATGCAGAGTTCCAAAATGAAGTCGGAAATGTGACTGCAGGCAGAAATGCACAAGTTCCTGTTCATGCCTTGAGCTGGTCTCTAGCAGTGATTGAAGCATGGAAATCTGTACAGATCCTCTATCTGTAGTCCTCTGTAAGCTTACATGCTTTGTTTTCTGAGCTGGCTGTTCTACTAGCAGGGATGTACTGGAGGTTGAGTTGCTAATTGAACTGCATTGAAAGTTCTTCCTATTAACATACACAGGCACCAAATTTTTTAATTTTTTTTCCCTTGCTAAATGTTCTTCAGCCTATGCTTTTCAGATAGTTGAGTCAGGCTGTTCTTATAGACCTGTAAGAATCTTATCATATTCACAAGAGTTGAGCTCAGGTTGGAAAAGCCATAAATGACAGCCAACATGCTCAGGAGAAATGATCACCTGCACAGAACCAGCCTCACAAGATGGAGGAGATCTGACCCACGTGTTTAAATATATCTGGTAGAGTGGGCTCCAAATGGAGGAGAGAAATACTGCTGCTGAATGGCTGTGGTGCAAAAATGAATGATGCTAAATTGGCCTTGAGAGCATAAGACCAAAGAAGATGTAGACCAGCCGCCCAAAGCTGTGAGGGAAAGCATCTAGAGATGTTATTTATGCCTGCAATGTGATTTATAAGGCTATGACAGTTAACCTGCTTTTGACACAAGCTTGATTTAGCGGCCAGAACTTCCTCATTTTCACAGAAGAGTCTGCCAGATAAGGAAGGGGTGCCTGCCAGAAGGCCACTGCCACTGCTCCTCCCCAGGGAGGTGCTGCAGTGTGCTGCCCTGCTTCTCGGATAGAGAACTCCATGGGGCACCGTGACAAGCTGCAGGACTTCTTGCCCCGGGTGAGCTCTGAAAAGATGTGAGCATTTGATTTCTCGAAAGGTGAAAGTGATTTCTTGTAACACGTGTGCAGATCGTTCCTGCGATCTCTGAGATGAAGGTTTCTTTCTGCCCTGATTTCTTAATTCCCTTCTGTAGATGCCTTTTCTCCTCTGTCTGATGCAGGGTGTGGACCACATCTTCCCACCTCTTGCAGGGAGGACTGAGAGGGACAACGTTTGCAACTGTGAAGCCCGCTGGCTTTGTTTTGTCACACATGACAGCAGTGGAAGTTGTGCTTCGCAGGTATTTTTTCCTGTTATTTCAGAGACAGCAGCAGTGCTAAGGCTATAATGAGGGCTCTCCCATAATCATAAGCATAACTCCCATTCCTCTCGGAGAAAAACGTTGCATTTTGTACGTGGGTACTGCCCTAGGTCAGCTGGCAGTGCTTGCTGCGTATCACAGGTTGAGGCATAGTGCTAAACCCCCAGCACCCTGTGTCCTGCTGTACTTCTCCCAGAGACGTAACACAACATTTAGCCTCTCCGGGGAAGCAACAGGGATGGGTTCTGCTGTGTGATTTGCCTCTCCAAATCAGCACCCAGTTCCCAAGGCTCACTCTGAAGTCTATGGAAAGGGAAAAGCCCCTCGGGAACAGTACTCAGTGCCACGTATTGGTCTCCAGCTGCATCGCCGTCAGGAGGAGCTTTTCTGCCCTGAGAACTCTGGTGTGGGAGAGTTTCGTGGTGTGCCCTTCTACAGCTCATCTGTAAGGCGGATGGGAAGCGCTAGGCCATGCAGCTCTGCTGGGACTGCATCAGGGACACAAGATGCTTTGCTTCAGGTGAGGGCTCCACAGCAAAGGCCTGACTACTGCCAAAAACACAGTCACCCATTGGTGTCATTTTCAGAATGCGTGCACGGCTGAGATAAAGGTCACCTGGGCTCACAGTCCTGTGGGTGGGTTTTGCGGCCCTCCTGGATGTGCAGGAAGGAAGTCAGCACCACACTGGGATGCTCCCAGCAGTGAGCGCAGCGACCCTAGAAAGCATCTTTGGCTTTTGGTGTGCAGTGAGAGATGGTATTGATTTGTTTTTCTCTCTGGGAAGCTTTGTTACAAAGCCTGAAGTAGAACTGCCATGTCTGCTTTTGCTTTGTACCCTCCTCTCTGTTGAGTCTTGTAAGCCCTACAAAAGCTCAAAGGAGTGATGCTTGTATAGTTCTGCCAGCGCTTTCCTTTCAGACCAGGCTTCGAGAAGCGTGTGCCTTAGGTGGGTGATGGGAAGGATGCACAAAGACTCAGCTGTCTCCCAGCAGTCTGTGTGCTTGCATGCCCTCCTGGCTGCGGAGAGCCTGCCAGCTATGTGAGAGGCATTGCAGAGCGTGTCAGTCCGGCAAGATGTAGAAAATGATCATCTTGCAAGAAGCGGCTTTCTTTGCATCTGGGGAAAAATGACTTCTGTAAGCAGTGCTTGCTCCCACTTGATTATTGTCACGTAAGATCTTGATTTAATGCAGGTTTCAGCTACAGGAAGCTCACGAGAGAGGCTGTGTCAGTAAGAGCAATGGCTGTAGTGCCTGTCCCGACCGCATGCGTTTCTCAAGAATAGAGAATTAAGGCTGGAAGCTCTCCTGCTGCCTCTGCCAGAGGTAGTGTCAGGGTTCTGCACGTCCCCTGTGATGTGACCAAGCAGACAGCGCAGAAGAATAAATAACAAAAATGCTTAACTGTGCTGTGCTGATAGGAGGGCAGACTTTTATCACCCAGGCATAGGTACACGCATTGTCTTTGACAGTGCCCGCATACCCCATCATTCATCCCATCCCTTATGCTTTGGTGATACCTGGATAAATGGGGGGAAAAAGGTGCATATATTTCTCAAGGACGTGTTCATGTTTCCAGCATTACTTTTCCATGCTAACATTATGACCTGAATCCAAAGAGGCACCAACCTGCTTTCCAGAGACCGTGTTGTGAGGCAGAAGCCATGCTGCCAGAGCAGCTCACCTCCTGGCAGGGATCTGGCCCACACTTACCTGCTCTGGCAACACCCACTGCCTTCCTGCGGGCACAGGGGCAGGCTGGGGCTCACCAGGCATCAGACACCCTGCAGGGCCAGCGGAGGCACAGTTCTGGGCAGAAAATGCCTGGAAAGGGAAGAGTAAAAAAGCTGGACCGGAGGGCAGAATATTTGTTATCATCTCAATTAAGGCTCTCTTGTCATTGTAACATGAACATCTGATCAATCTACAAAGCTCTAGTAACAGTTTGTTAAAGCACAGCTTCTCTCTGAAAGAGACTGCCAATGCGTTTCATGTTTATCTCTCAGGGACTTGGTAGCAACCGTGTGTGGTTTGCAAGTACAAAGACATGTTTTTTTCCTAACCGCCTGCCCTCCAGATGCAGCCTGAGCCCTGAGCTGAGCTCTGTCTTTCCATCAGCCTCTGATCAGAGTTCTGATAGAAGCACTCAGTGTGCAGCAGCACCTGCAAGCTGGGCCACAGCAGCGCGTGCAGAGGACTGCCAGGGCGTTCAGTAGGTAGCTGGGAACTGGAACTAGCTCCTGCTCACAGCATCACTTTGAAAACGCCCACACTGTTCTACAAGGGGCTGCTGTGCCCTTACAGCCACGCTGCCATTATCACCTCAGGGGCAGCCTGCCGGGGAGACAGAGCCCTCAGCAACACTCAAGGCAAAAACCTGACAAAGCTGCTTAGGGATGCTGTTGTTATCTCTCACTGTTAAAGGAAGAAGGGAGAAACCACGCAGGTGAAGCAAACAGCTGTAGATGGGGAGTAGAAGAGCTTCTAAAGGAAAGTCAGACTGAATTTGCAACCCCTAGGTGAGAGGAGAAGGCAAGTGTTTTGTACAGGGCATATTTATACCTCTGCTTTCTTTAGCAAGCAGGGATGCTGCTTTCTCAGCAGCACAGTTACCAGCTTTTTATTTTGCAGTGAGGTTCACAGAGCAGAGAGGATTCATCCAGCATTACCAGCTCCTTCCTCCTCTCATGCAAGAAGAACAAAGTCCCAGGGGAGGACACGTGCCTTGTCCAAGCCCATCAGCAAGCTGGCAGCTGTACTCACCTTCTTGGCTGGGGTTTGCCTCATGTGCAAGGAAGAGAAATGACCCCACATCCCATGCTGTCCCAGCTGAGCTTTTGCTCATGTTTCCTTCCCTCTGACACCTGCTCTGGGTGTGAGGCCATGGAGGCCTGCAGTCAGCTTGCTGTCTTCCCAGCAGTAATACCAGAGGAGAAAACTCAAGAAGCAAGGAAAGTCAGTGGTTTCCTATGTTCTCTCAACAGCTTATGATCTTGGTTATTTCTGAGAACAAAGAAGTCAGTTCAAGGCTCATTCCAACCAAAGCAAGCACAAAAGGGAGAATGAGAACTGGTGATCCTGCTAATACAGAACTTGTATAAGACCAATTAGCACTCAGGATTGAAGCAAAATCCAGGCCTGGGTGACAAGCAGATAGTGAGCACAGAGGCTCAGTTCTCTGTGCTATGTCAGCTCGTCACTCCTGTGGCCCAAATGGTGACTATTGAACCAGAGACAGGGAACAAACTGGGGAGGCAGCTCCAGAGCCAAATTCACTTCTTGGACTGTTCGTACCCCAATACATTCTGGTGTAAGGTGCTCTGCTGTGGTATCTGATAATGCAGGAGCTCTAACTGAAGCTTTACTCTTGACTGTGGTGGTTATGACTTCCCTGCTGCCGCTCTGCCCCCCACCTGCTTCCTCCCCAGACCAAGGAAGCCTACAAAGAGGAAATTTCAGAGAGCTGAAGACATCTTTGCCAGCCTGGGTAAATCTGGCTAGCAAAGGAGAAGAGTAGATGCAGACACCAACACATTCACTCACCTGTAGCAATCACCTCCTTTAGCTAAAAATCCCAGAAAGCCAAGGAATGGGCTGTGTAAGAGAACAGTTCATTAACATTTATACAGCACACTTACGCTTCCAAATGTCTGCTGAGTCCCAGGCTCTCCCAGCTGTCACACCTGATTCTCTCTCTCCAGCCCTGCACGTAAAGGAGAATCTTTAACAAGATTGGGAAGAAAAGAGGAGACAATTTCTCTTTACTATTCTATGGGAAAACAATCTGTTGGATTATTGTCTGGAAACTGTGCAAAGTGCCAAGATGAGCAGTGAGAGCCTGGAGAACCCTGGTCCCTCCCCATTGACTGAAGGCCTGAAGAGAAAGAGGGGAAGACCAAAGAAACAGCCACAGGTGAGTGCATGTCACCTATAGAGTCTGCCTGAGGTGCCCAGCGTTAACCTGGTAGGATCTGTAGGCGGCCAAGAGCAAGGGAAGCCAAGGTTTTCTGTAGTAAATATTTAGGCTATTCAGGAAAGCAGCAGTGTGTGTGCCCTGGGGTGTCAGAGGTGTTCTGGTGTCCACACGGAAAGCTGCTCAGACGAGGGAGTGGAATGGGAGGAGCTGCTCAGGTCTCTGCTGCAGTCTGGAGACTTTCAGGTGTCACAGCCCTCTGTTTCTGCACTGGTAGTTGGTGCACAGGCTGCTCTGGCCCTGTTCCAGATGCTGTGGTCAGGATCCTAGCAACTCATCCATTTCACCAAGACAAAATGTACATGGTAGTGGTACGTGTAGTGGTAAGTACACAAAGTGTACATGTAGCGGTAAATGTGTTTCAGCATCAGGAAAAGCGGAGACAACCAGATAGGTTTGTCAGGTGTGACCCTGCTGAATTTTCTCTTTGTTGCAGGATGATGCTGTGGGCTCACTGCCAGAGAAAAAGCCACGAGGAAGGCCAAAAGGAAGCAAGAAAATGAGCACTGTAACTGGACAAATGGTAACAGCAAGTGGCTTGTGTGCTTTAGCAAGGGGAGGAGAGATGCTGGCTGTATGAGAGGGACAAGTGGGGAGGTTTCTCTCGACAGCCAGGGAAAGGCTGCCCCTATTTTGGTTTACCGTCAGCTGCTGCTGTTAGACCTACCAGTTCTGCGGCCTTTGTCCAAGCTGCCCCAGCCCTCCCGTGCTGCTGCTGCCTGTTCAGCACTTCCCTGCTTTTGTGCTGCATGGTTTCCATGTACGATCAGCGCGATTTGGTGGGCGCTTCCTCCCCAGCTGTCCTCCTCCAGCCTTGACTGCTTCTGCTGCTTGTCCTGCAAGATCATTGTGCAGAGTTCACTTTGTCCCAGTGAAGTGCATTAATGGTGGTGCCCAGCAGATGCAAGAGATGAAAATATATCTGTTGTTTTCAATGTAGGTAGAACCTCCTGCTGGGAAGAGGCCTCGAGGAAGGCCCCGCAAGTGGGTGAGTGCAGTTCTCAGTCCTTCTCCTCTCTTCCAGGCACAGAGCTTTGGGTGGTAGTGGGCGGTTCTGCTGTGTTTGTTCTTCTCAGTCTCTCTGCAGTGACACAGAGCTGAGCTGGCCTGGTGGCCTCACACGTGTGGGAAGCTCTGGGTGCCCTTGCAGTGCCCCAGCCCATGGCTCAGTTCCCATAGCAGGCTGGGAGAGCTGCTGTGCTCAGGACGTGTCAGTCCATCACAGCAGTTTCCCAGGGCACAGATTCCATTCTGAGGCACAGGGGCTGTCATCTCAGGAGTCCTGAAACACTGCAGTGATTGCTCAGCATGTCTGTTTGTTTCTAAACAAGAAACTTAGAATTGAAAAAAAATTTAAAAAAAAAAAAAAAGGGAAAAAAAAAAAAAAAAAGAATTAAAAATGGAAATGTAGTGACAAAACGGTGAGTGGGGCCAGCAGGAGGCTCTTCTCTGCAACCAGCAAAAGATTAGTGAGAATCGGTAGCTGGAAGATAAAGGCTTGAAAAAAAAACCTACGCTTATAATCAATAAGGATATTCAGTCCTGCAAACAAGTAATGGTGTGGGATCTCTCTTTGCAGGTGATTTATAAACCAAAACAAAACACAGACAAAGCCACACAAATCTCACAAACTTTATTTATTGCACAGTTGTTACCACAGAGAATTGCAGGCCAAAGCCACACTGTGCACTCACTGCAGCAATCCAGAGGTGTGCAGCTGGGAGCCATGCCTCTTCTTCCCCAGGTGCCGTGGATTGAAGGTATCACTTTAAAAATAAACAGAGGTGTTCCCTGAAGGCGTTGTGGTCTGAAACCTTCTCATGAATGAGAGGTTTGTCAGTGCTTGTGGAGTCCACTCACTGGAGTCCAAGCAGTCTCCAACACACCAGAAGTTATAAATTGCTTTACAGCAGAATTTCAGATTCCTGAGGCAAACAGGGGGATTTCAGGAAGCACAAAAGCTGACCATTAGAAGCTATTTTAACTTACAGCTCATGTGGGAGGAAATATCAGGAGAGGAGTGTTAGTGCTGAAAAGGAGCACTGATGAGAGCAGAGCAACACCAGGCAGTATGCATTCACTATGTAAAAGCCAGGGTAGAGGCTGGTATTTGGGTGGTTGCATGCAGACCAGCAGTCTGGGGCTGGTTTTGGTCCTTCCCAGGGACCAGGGAAAGTCAGGGCTTTACAGGTTGTTTGGGAGCAGCCCAAAGCCTGAAGGTTTAACCTTCACAATTGAAGCAGTGCAGTTCTGCTCTCAGCCTGGTAGGGAACAGAGCAAGCAACAGAGCTCTGCGGGAGGGATAAATTCAGTCCTCACTTCGGCTGTCACTGTGATGCAGGCTGAACTGTGGCAGGGAGGCTGCAGCCACGGAGCTCTGTTACTGGAGAGTTCTGGTAGGCAAAGAAGTGAAGTAAATGCTCCATCAGTCTGGGGAGGGGTTTCAGAGCCTGTTTGTAAAACACCTGCTGGTAGAGCTGCCTGGTGGTGGCAGTGAGGGACTGTGTGTGTTCCTGTGCTCCTTTTCAGAACCATAGGGTACTTAGGGTTGGAAGGGACCACCAGAGGTACACTTGTGCCAACCCCTGCTCAGAGTGGGTTTTGCAGAGCAGTGCTTGGGGTGCCCAGCCTGCAAGCACCCAGGGTGTGCTGAAGTCCTTCCCAGCACCTGACATCTCTTAAGGGTACCAGTGGGACAGGCAGCATCATTCCCTGCTGTTACAGACAGCAGTAGCTGCCATTCTGGGCTTAGGAGGGGCTGAATTCATAGAGCTGTGTGCCAGAGCTGTTACGTAAGGCGTTGCTGCACACAAAGACATGCAGAGCAGTCTGTCAAAAACCTTTGTCCTTTAATGCATGCCAATTTGAAGAAGATGAAACTTTTTCCACACCAACTCTTTTGTCGTAATGCTTCAGAATGTTTTGCTCTCACTTTGTTTAATGAAGCATTGTGATGCCTCAGTTTAAAATTCATTTAATACCAGAAGAGGTTTTTTTTTCAGGGTAAAGGGAACCAATACAGAAGAAGCGGAGCAGACCTTTGATTTTGAATTTTCAGAGGACAAAACACTTTGCATTTCAGGACAGGAAACTGTCCTGAAATATAAGAGGGGTTTTCCAGGCTGAAAAACCAGTTCTCCACACCGGGGAGGCTTTTCAAGGTCTCACATCAGACATGCAGTCTGCTCAGGACAGACTCAGGCACCATTCAGAGCCTGCTGTGATTGTATGAGGACACCACACACTGCTGCCTGCTCTCTTGTGCGTTAGAATCATAGAGACATAGAATGGCCTGGGTTGAAAAGGACCACAATGATCATCTAGTTCCAACCCCCCGCTACATGCAGGGTTGCTAACCATTAGGCTACAGGAAGGGATGTCAAGTGGGCACGCCTCCAGCCCTGCACAGCCTGGTGTAAATAGCACTGATTGAAAGCATCGTGCTCTGCATCTACTTTGCACATTTGCGATTTTGTCTCCCTGTACTGATGCCACATGGCCGTTTTCATTCTGGTGTATCTCCTCACAGCCTCAGCTGGTGACACAAGGAGCATCTCAGGAAGGCGGCCCTCAGGGAAGCGGTGACATGGACACAAACTCAGCGTCTGCCACGCAAGGTTAGAAATTAGACAACCTGGATCCTCCAGGGCTCAGTGTGGAATCGTGCTCCTAGCAAAGCACACGCGTGTCCCCACAGCCGCTCACTGGCTGCAATGCTTCTGCAGATCTGACCAACAGAGGAGTGTTTGGAAGGGCTCCAGAAACACAGGAGGGAAACACATTTCTGCCATCTGATTTGGTGGTGACTACTTGAGTAGAAGGGGAGGCAGAAAGCAGGGGACGGCCAAAGTCTCTATATGACTTCTTACTAAGATAAATTTATCTGCTGCTGCTGTGGTACAGCTGAGTGAAATCTTCAGGCTGTGTTAAGATAGCAGGCTCTCACTTTCTAGTGAAGGTCTTACCTTACCTAAAACTGTGAAGAGCCCTCAGCATTTGGGATGTGCTGGTGTTACAGATTTGTCCCAGTCTGTTTCTTGTAGTCGGATCTCTCCTTCCAAGCTGTGCTCTGTGACAGCACATGGGAGATGTTCACATATCAGCAGCACAGCAGTCATGACACTGGCGCGTTTCTAGGCAGGGCTATGCGCTGCTCTGAGATGAGGTGACAAATAACAGGTGTTACTGTCCTGGGAACACACAGATGCACCATCCAGAGCCCCAATTGCATTGCAGCCATGGGAAAGTACAAATTCAATGCAGCCCGTGCTGCTGAGAGCTGCCCTGAACTAAGGGCCAGCAAAACCTGCACACAGCTGAGCCCTACCTCCAGGGAGCATCACAGGAGGTGATTCATTACGTGCTTTCCCCTGAGTGGGAGGTGGCAGAGAGCCAGCAGCCCAGGAGGGGCAGATGTTGCCTTGCTTTGCCATGTGGTCAGCACAGCTGCTCCCTGTGCTCCTGCAGCACACCGTGTGAGAAGTGAGCCAACTGACACCAGGCGGGCAAACCAACCCCGGGTTCATACAAAGTCCCTGGAAATGCAGTGTGATAAAACTGAAGCAGTTGGCCTCAGCTGCTCAGTTCAGCTTCCTCTGGGGCTCCCACTCCCATATCGCTTCCTGCCACCCAGCTGTGCACTGACAGCAGCGGGGCTGTGGGCGGTGAGCTCACCCACAGCACCTTCCAATGCTTGGGCATGACCCAAATCCACAGCCTGTGTGAATGTTCCTTCTCCCTGCAGCCTGGGCAGCAGCGTGAGCATGCTTCCCTCCTTTGCACTGAGGTAGGACCAGATGTGATGAAGCAGCACCCCTGTGGTCTCTGTGGGTCTAGGCTTAACTTGCTTATCACTGCTCCTCATGCTGCCCTGAGATCTGCTACTAGGAGCCTGCAGCATGGTCTTCTGCTCTGGGCACAGACAGAGCTTCTAGCTACTGTGGGGTTGATCCGTTTGCTCTTTCCTTTCAGGTGCGGGGCTTTGAGTCCCCATGCTGTAGGAGGGCCCAGAGGAGCTGTGTGCCTCCTGGTCCTGCAGACTGGTCCTGCACAGCTCTCAGTGGGGAAAGGCATTTGTCCCAACTTTGTGTCTGCAGCATTAAAAAGAATTCCCAAAATAAACAATGGCCACGTCCCTGCCTTTCAGTCAGGCCTTTCTGGGGAGAATAAAGAAGCAGGAAGAGCTGAACGAGATATGTGCAAAACTTACAAGCCTGCCCTGGAGCAGCAAAGAAAGAAGAGCTGCTTTAGAGCTAGCCTTTTATTTTTCCCATGGCCTTTGCAGCTGAGAATCCAGCTCTGATTTTCCCATGTGTATTTGCATAGCAGAAGCCAGGGAACTCCACAAAGACTGTAGCTCAGAGGCTCTCAGTAGCCCCACTCAGGGGCACACTGCCAGGGGCTGCCATTCACGTCAGGCTTCAGCCTGAAGCCAGCACAGCAGCATGGAAATGCTGCTGAGAAGTAATTTGAGTGCTTAGGAACAGATCCTTACTGCCTTTTAACCTTGCTCTGGCTCTGCAATAGGGCATCTGAGCAGACCTCTAACTCTCTTTCTCCCATCATCTTTCCCTATAGGCATCACTGGAAAAGACGGTTTCAAGCCCAGCAAAGCTGCTGCTGTTCGGAGGTCTCTGAGCAGCATCGCCGCCGCAGCTCAGTAGTGTGCTGCCTGCTCACGTCCTGCTGGAGCCAGAGGACAGGAAAGCATGCAGCATTCTTACTGTCATATTTCAAATTGTTCTCTGCGATGATTTTGGCTGCGCTTTCCCCTCTGTTGTCTGCTGGCTTACCCCAAACATCCAAGCAGACTTAAGGGACAAAACAACAAATGATATCTCAGGGAGATGCCTTCCTCAGTTTGTAGTACGTTTTTTGAGGATACTGAACTTTTTTAACAGTGCTACAGTGACACAGTGCCTTGAGCTGCCACAGGTAGTGATAGTTCAATAGGGTGATGGTGTTGTCTCAGTTATATACACATATAGGAGAGGAAAACAATCTGCATAGCTGGCCATTGGATTCGCATCATACCACCTCTGGTACATGATGGTGTAGTCTAGGAATTAAATTTTGTTGATTTGCTCATAGGGACTGCGTCTGAAAGATAGAGTTCTCCCCTCACTATACCACAAAGGAGAAAACAACCAAAAAACAACTTGATGGCAATTCCAGCTTACCTACAGTTGTTGCTCCAGCAGTCAGCAACTTGGATGCTTTAGAGGAAAGCTCACACCCCAACACAAACCTCAGGGATTGATTCAGAAATATTTCTCCTGGTGCTAGCAGCTCAGGGCCATCTTCCATACCTCGCTGTTGCCTCATGGCACAGCCCCTGGATTTATAGCAATTTTCATGAACATGTTTACAAAGCTTAGTTACAGCCACTGGATTTCATCACTTCCAAGGAGTGTCTGTAGAGAACCAAAGTGACTCAATGGCTGCTGCTTTGCAGAGCTTCGGGTTACAACTGAAATTACCGTTGCACCTGCGTGCATAATGTGCTCTGTGGGGTCCTCTAGTGTTACAGCTGTGCAAACAAAAGCTGGCTGCTACCTCTCAGCCAGCAGCACTCACGTCAGCTCATGCTTCTAATGTCGAAGAGCATCTTGCTTACGTTCTGAGGAATGGGGATATTTCCCTTATCCCCTTGCAAACAGCAAAATCCTGACGGTATTTTCTATCTGGTGGATTCTCTGCCTGCCTATTAGAGGAATAAATTGGGTATTTCAATTATCTTTGACAGGATGTAAAATTGGCTAGCTCTACAGTGTTAAATATTTAAACAGAACATAATTGGCTTTAAATTTATGGCAGCTCATAGCAGAAACCCATGAAATGGCGGTATGTATTGAGCTCATTTATTATCCTTTCATCGTGTCTGTTTCCTTAGCAGGAATGTATTTAATACAAGAAAATACCTGCAGGCATAGGAGTTAAGAGGAAGGGCTAACTGGGGAGAGAGAATAGAAAAAAACACATTTTTTTTCCCTCTCGGTCACTTTGTCCAATCTGCCCCGTTCAGCAGCAACCAGGGGCCTGACCCGGTGACTGTGCTCTCAGGTTTGCCATAACAGTAGTTTCTTGTGTATGCAGTTTGGTGGTTTGGGCAGAAAACCCCATCAGAGAACTCTTTGTGCCTCCCCTGCTCCACAGCAGGGAAATCAGGGATCAGGTGCATCACAGGGGGCGACCTGAACTCCCAGGATGAGGCAGACTGCCTCCTGCTGCCTGCTCACATCAGCTGGGACAACATGTGTGAGTCTGTCCCTGCTGACTGCTCCTCTGAGTTCAGGGCAGGAAACTGGTCTTCAGTGGACATGAATTCATCTGCCGTTCATGTCTGCATTCAAAGGGCACTCCAGTGACCAAGATATCTTACCAACTTCTTTGCCTGATTGGTAATTGAGACAGATTTAGTATTTTTCTTTCAAGAGTGTACTGTGTACTTCATTGAGCCCTATTACCTGAGAGCAGTAACTGCAACCACGAGGGACTGAAATCTCAGCTTCTCTAAATGGATTTGGTTTGGCATCTGTACGTCTCGAGCTTTTCCTATGAAAACCAGGCAAACTTTCCATAGCTGGTGACGTGGTGCAGGGGTGGAATCTGCCTCAGCCAGATAGTAAATGCTCTGGGATCAGATCAGTAGCATTGCGTTGGGAATATAAGTACTCCTTCTCTTGGAAACAAAAAATACAGCATTTGCTACCTCTCAGCTGGGAAACCATGGGAGAAAACAGGAGCCTCTGAAAATGTAACTGCTTTAGAGCAAGCAGAATTCCATGCTCATTTGGGCTACTCTGCACATAGTCAAAATCCCAATCCATAACTTCAGCTTCCACTTTTATGCAGAGACTTGGAATGAAAGCCTACAAAAGGCAGGCAGAATTCCAGTCTTCTTCAGAGAAATAGGGTCTCACCCTGGATTTTCTTATTTGAAATAACCAACACTTTCTTTTTGCCATAGCTAATCACACGGTCAGTGCAGCCAAATCCAGCCGAATCCTACCTCTAAGTAAATGCCTTTCCAGTGTTTCTAAGCTTGGACAGTTTGGGTCTGAATCATAAACAGGTCACTGCAGTTGGATTAGAATAGAGTAGATGAGAGATCTGTTATCCAGCAAAGCTTTAAGATTCTCATAAATGGTTCCAGTTTGGACATAGGCATAAAAAGAGTTGGCAATTTGCAAATGAACCTTGGAGTTTATTTTTAATAAAGGTATAAAACTTCTAGTACTTCAGGCATCTGCTCTGCCTCTTCTGTGTTTAACAGCCTCAGCACACGCTCACATCACTAGCCACGCTTGTTTCTGTATCTGAACCAGATTGCCAAGCACTATAAAACATGACAGTTACTCAGAGCACCCACAGACCTATAAGAAAACAATAACCAGCACGAATGATGCAAGGAAAACTGCCCTGCCTAAACCCAAGTGTTGTGCCTACTGTATATCTTCCCGCGCCTTGTGAATGGCTTGATCAGGATACAGGATAATTCTGCTTCATCCATGCACTTAGAATTCCCTACAGCTTTTGTCTATGCCACTCAGAGGTGGCTGACTGCAGAGCTTGCCATCTGAAGCCTTCCATGTTTCCTTCAGACTTTGAAAGAAGAAGGGAATTCACTCTGTACAAATTTACCAACAGGTACTGAGGATACACTCCAGTTTTCCCCAGAAAATGTAAGCAGGGAAAAAAGAAAATCACACGACATTTCATGTAAATTCTTTCATTATATTTCAATGCTTAAAACACAGAATACTTGAATTCAATTACATCATAATGCTTCTGCTAGGTTGCACATACACTTCCAAGAACTGTGAGCGAAGGTGCTACTGAACTAAAAGAATACTCCAGTACAAGCCCAGCAAATATCCATAATATTCTTCTAGTCTTATTTTCCATACTTCTTTAACCCAAGGGCAGTTGTCACAGGACAAAACCTACTGCAGCAGGAAGAAGAGTTGAAGAGAATTCCCCTGCAGGAGTGTTTGTTATACAAGCTTTATCTCGGCACTGATGCAGAATGAGGTGTGTGGTTTTGTACTGCAGCTGGCAGATGCACTGCTCAGCACTGCGCAGTGGTCTGAGGAAACAGCCCAGCTTAGGTTGCCCTTTCCAGAGTGTATAACGACAACACCAACACAAGTTTCCATCCCAGAATTAGAGGGATCGAATGCTGGCAGGTTGGGATAGCCATGCACCAATGCCACCAGTCATGTCCCTGCCCTGCTGCAAAGCACAGGAGGGTGACAGGCAATGAGTGCCTGCTGCTGAAGGGAGGAATGTGAAGTCTCTGCAGCTGGCTGTTCTCAGTGAGCACTTGGAGGCGATAAAGAAACGGAAGCTAGGGCTGGGGGAACGGGTCTGCTTTTTTAGCTGCTCACACAAGCATAACCTCTGGGAAGGCCCAAAAACAGTGGCCTCCAAATTGAGATTACATGGAGTATTTGTACTCACATTCTCCTTCCAACAACCTCCCTAGAGTGCCAACACCAGCAGCCTGGGAATGTCTCTTGCCATACCTTACCAGGCCTTGAGGACAGGCCATTTTCTACAGGTACTGACACTTTTATACTTCCCTTTCATAGCTCCCTGGTTTTTAAAAGAGAGAGAGACTGAAAAATTAAAGCAACTTAGTCCCGCAAAAATGTCAGAAGGGAAGCTGGGTCAATGAAGAAGGCAGGGCTAGTGAGCTGTTCGCTGCGGGGGTCAGTGGCATGTGTCCAGAAAAGGGTTCAAAAGAAGAAAAATCACAGTGGGGAGCAAAATACAGCACTTAGGAGAACAAAACTAGCTTGGAGGCCCAAACTTGCAACAAAGCATTTTACCTGAATTGCCACTAGTGAAACACCTCCTTACGAAAAGCTCACCTTTAGATCTGCATTCAAATTTTGGCTGGCCCTGATTCCCTTTTAACTCGTGCTGTGGATGGAATAGGATCTGACAAAAGCAGGTGCTGCAAAAAACAAACAAACAAACAAACAAACAAAAAACAAAACCAAACAAAAATATCAGTAGTGATCAGTACATAGCTGGGCACTGATGCTTGTGTGCAGGCTGTGCGTGCAGAGCACCATGAACACAGCAGTGAGACAGTCTGATTTGTGCATTCACCTCCAGGGACATCAAGCCACCACCCATCTAGGAGTGAGAGACAATCTCTGCAGATTACCAAAAAGGAGCACTCCTCCCCCCTGGTCACTGATGGCCAAACAGGGTGGACAGAAGCACATACCTTTTTTTTAATCTCCTCTGCAGCTACAAGGCTGGGGAACAGGACAGGGAGGACATGGCTTCTACCCAATGCCATGGCCATATTGGACCCTCCATAGTCCTTTCTGCCATGCTCTGTGTTTGCACTGTGAGAGCACAGCCTGGATCCTGCTGCCATTCCCTAGTCTCTGTGCTGGCCAGTAGCACCCTGGGCTGGTGGTCACCAAAAAGGCTGCAGAGAACAGCGCTCATCCTGCACGCCAAGATGGCCAGAGACCCCTATTGCACTCCTTCCCAGAGCCCTGATGGAATAATGGCTGAGAGGTGTTTCAGGCTTACTGGAGAACTACTGGCTTACCTGTCAAGACCCACCTTCTGCATTAGCAAGTAACCGCAAGCAGAGGTTAACACAAAACTTTGTTTCCTTCAGCAGGAAGAAGGCTCTGCAGGTCAATCAGGTAAGGAAGTAACCAGATGTTCAGCCACCTCTGGGCAGACACTGTAATGTAGAGCTAAGACCTGATTTTCTTCATTCAAAAGAAAAAAGTTTAAGGTTTAATATTCTCTCTGCTTGATAAAACTTCCCTGAGCTGAAGCAGGCAGGACACACAGTACCACAGCCCCACTTCTGCTTGACTCCTCTCTCTGGCTCAGGCACCACCATTCCTAGGTCAGCAGCAGGGAGTCATGTAGCCAGACATGGCAGCCCTGCCTCCAGCTGTGTGTTTTCTCCTTCTACACGGCAGCCTTAATTTGGGATATTCAGCCACTTCCTCAGCTAGGGTGTTACCAGCCAGATGTTCACCATTTCACATTTTAGAACTAGCAAATTCCCCATGCTGCAGTGCCAGCCCAGGCACACATTTGTCAGCATCACACAAGCCACAAGGGAAAAAGCCCATGGTTTGTGTTTTCCCCTGTGCCTCCATGGTATGTGCCTCCAATTTACCATTCAGCTAGAACCATCAGTTTCCCCAGCTGAAGGAGGAGGCTTTGCCACCAGCCACCCTTCCAGGGTCTGCCAATGCTGCGGTCGCTGCACAGAGGCTCATTCACTGTTCTCGTTGGGATCTGGTGGCACAAACCCAACAGGTAAGCTGTCTGGAACATGCATCTCTCCTCTTTCCCTGATCCAGAGAGCACACAGATGTGCTTGGATAGTTAATCTACAACAGAGTGAGCGCTATTTCTAAGCACACAGCTTGGTAGGTGGTGTCAGTCAGCACCAGCCCAGAACCTGGAGCAGCATGGCAGCTCAGGACCTTGTAGTAGTAGTGGACACACCTAAAACTGCTACTGCCATTGTAAAGGGTTTCCTTCCCAAAGCGGTGACTGTTTCCAGCACGTGAGCCCATCTGTAACGCAACCCAGCAGCGTGACCAGTTGGGCTCCATGACTCAGCCACACTCGTGAGAAGTCGCTGGTTTGGTGGCTCCATCCTTCCCAATCTCGGCACAATCCCAGAGCAGGGGCAGGTACTGTTCATGCATTGATGGCATTGGCAACGTCTGTGAACACAAGACGGCTGGGTCTTTGGAGGGCTCCTTGGCTCGTCAGCAGAACCTGCATTGAAGCAGTGAAAGATGAGACCCAGCAAGTCCGCCTTACTTTGGTGCACGGCCCAGGGCACAGGCTGCGCAGCACTGTAACTAGATTCAGCCCCTTACTAAGGACAGCAAAGCTGGTAACAAAGCTGGGAGGCATGTTCTGTGAGGACACCTGGGCTGTCCAGCCTGGAGAAAAGGTAGCCTCACTGCTCTCTGCAGCTCTCCAAGGAGGGAAAGCAGAGGGAGGTGTCACACAATGGTTCTTGGAGCCAATGGTAGGAGGGGCATGGCACAGAGCTGTGCCATGGGAGGGTCTGATGGGGCAGCAGGGAAAATTTCTTTGCTGAGTTAAACACTGGAACAGCCTTCCAAGAGAGGATTGGTGCCCCACGGCCTGTCATTATTCAAGAGGCATTTGGACAATGCAGTATGTTAATGTATGTTAACTCGTGATTAGCCCTGAAGTGGTCAGGCAGTTGGACTTGATGACCTTTGTTCCAACTGAACTATTCTGTTCTATTACTCTCTTTTTTATTCTTCTCTACTCTTAAGGTGGGGCTGATACATTAACATGGCATAACAAGGCTATAAGAAAAATACAATAAGCCAGAGAACAAATCAACACATCCATGCCAATTTAAAATGCTCACATCATGGATTACTGAGTGTAGGTTTTCTAGGACTGCAAAGACTTGCCATGTATGTTTCACCATCTATATGTGCAAGAGCAGCATGCAAAGAGTTGAAATCTCAAGAAGATCTGGAAACATGCCAAAAACTGAACCTTGGCTGCTGTTTTAGACTGCTTCTCTCACTATAGTACGCCATTAAACTAGTGTGCTTTCCCAGCAGAAGTATCTGTACATTAGCAAGCTCCAGAGAGAACATACGTATTCTGCTGGCCAAGCACTACATAGGGAGGATACACTCTTCTTGTTCTAAGTTCAACTCTCGCCTTGTCATTTCCCCTCTTTACTACCTGAAGGGAAATCCTCTGTGTGCTCTGACAGAGGAACCTGATGTTTCCCCTGTACATACTGCTCATAGGACAGGATCCTTTGCTTTCATACATCTGTATTCCTCTGCTTTCCTAAAATGGCATATGGAATATGTTGTTTATCTTCCATGTTCTAATACATCTACAGCATGTTCTTTGGCAGGTTGGGAAGCATCCCTCAAAGTGAATAATTTTATAATTACAATTGTATTTATTTTCTTTTTTCTTCCCTTCTGCCCACACCAAGCTTGCTACAGGTTACCTGAAAGTGTCAAGTATGTGAAAACTGAGGCATGTTGGGAAGAATTCCTGCTCCTGGAACTGGAAAAGCAAGGGAAGAAGTGAGCAACATGGAACATCTGGAGAGGAATTCAAAAAAGGAGACATGTCTACTCTAAGGGGAGGCTGCACCACTTGCCAGAAGACGTACCTGTTCCAACTATCCCTGCTGGCTCTGTCTTTGAGAAAGGCTTTTTGTGTGTGATAGCAGTGACAAAAGAAACAGAGAACACTATGAAACTAACTGCAAACAATGGTGAGAGCTCTCTATCCAGCAAGGCTGGCCTGGAAGTCCTGCCAAGATCAGATGTGCCATGCCATAACAACATGAGGCTTTCTGACAGCCTTCCTCAGGACCTGTGGTTAACTGTTACAACTACTTGCTTTACATTCACAACACCTTGTTCTACACTTGTAGCCTTCAGCAAAGCAGATATACCTTAAAACTGGGTGGAAATGTCTTATTCTCAGGGCTGGCACCAGGAAATGTCTTATTTTCAGGGCTGGCACCAGAGAGCCTCAGTACTTTGTGAGCAGTGGAGCCTCCTCTCCTCTCCCATTCATCCTATTTGCCCTAGGTGGTAAACTGCTGTAAACTCAAAGTCAACTGAAGAAATTGCATTGTTCTCTCTTCTAGCTGAGTTGTGCCTGCACTTACCCTTCCCAGGCTTGTTGTCCTAGTTGCCTGACTCTTCAAACCATCCTAAACTCTAAAATTCTCAAGGCCCCCATCTCCAGAACTGGGTGAGGTGAAGGGAGCCCTCTTGAGGTCTCACATGATTTCCTTACAGTACAATTTCACAGAAACTCCTCATCTGTATGAGAACTATTGAGTCACGCATTGAGCACGTGGGGAAAGGACTGAGTCAGCTCTGGGAGCACAGGTGAAGGCAGTTCAGCTGCGTGACAGGAAGGGGTGGAGCCTGGCTGCACCTCTCTTAGATCTCATTTGAGGGCTGACTGTCACTGGAGGAGGATTTCTTTTTAGAGATTCTTCCTTGGTGAAGCTTTCTCCTGTGAACCTGGAATTTTCTGATAGGGGTAAGCAATCTTCTTCCGTTTCTCTATAGCACCTTTCTATTGTGCTAGTCCTTTTGTCATCACACTTTTGTTGTAACAGCTTTCCCAGTGTACTGATCTATCCAATTGCTACATCATCAACAGCAGGGCAGGAGCCAATGGCTGCAATAACATCCTGGCCATTACTATCTTGCTGCTTACCTTGCTCTGTGATGCCTGGGAAGATGCTGCATCTCGCCCATGTTCAAGGAGCTCCTGCTCCAGTTCATCCTGTTCTTCAGTGGGATCAAAGTTGTACATTGGCATGAGCTGGTGTCGTAGCTTCTCCAACCTGCCGTGGAAGGGAAAGCAAAGACTTGGTTGAAAAACTCAATAGACAGAAGGACAGATGCTCAGGCTGTCTTCTCTGCTCCACTACTGAGGCATTTTGCAAGCTGTTTTTCCTTCTGCATGGGGATTCAGCTCTTGTTGCTGCTTGGTAGATAGCAGTTACGTCCCCATCCTATGGGAAGGAGGATAAGAACCTGCTATACAGCAGGAAGGAGTGGAAGATGCCTAGAGAACAGCTCCAGGGATCAACTGCCTTCACTAATCTATGTTGGCAGGCATTACGCACAGAGGAGTCAAACAGGGACTGGATTTTAAGTTCCTGCAGACCTTAAAAGCTCAGGACAAGCCTTATGTATTGGGAAAAACAAGAGGGTGGAATGTAATGGCTGTGCATTTTGCAACTCCTCTCCCTGTCTCTCTGCCTGTGACATCCAGCCCTGTCAAATCACACTATGCCTGCCAGAAGGGGTCTGGTTTTAGCTCCAGCAACTTGAGAGCAGTACTTCAACTATGGACTTGAAGTATATATATATATGTGTATATATATATATATATATATATATATATATATATATAATTAAAAATAATAACAATAATAAATAGAAATGCAATAAATAGGAAAGAGAGACTGATGCCTGCAGACTGTTCTTAATCTTATTGCTTCAAGTGACAGATACAACAAATTGCCCCAGAGGGTCTCCCTAAATACTGGGCAGGTGAGTGATGGAGTATGGATGGGTGGACATATTCCTGTGAAAACACTTAAGCTGTATCTGAGCATTTTGAGGTTAGGGGAGGGAAATATCCAAGCTGTTACCGGCAGTGTCACCACAATTATCTATTTTGGAAAGTGTTAGGATGACACACTCCCGCTGTGCCAACACAGCCATTATCTCCAGCAGCTATGTTTACAGGCCAAGCATCAGCTCCTCCTGGAGCAGTACCCAGATCTGGGCTTGAAAATTTTGTAACAGGCAGCAATACTTCTTGAAGGTCTGCGGCCCTGCCTTAAGGAATTAGGCAGGGAAGAGGTACCATATGTAAAGGTTGTGTACCACTGTCTTTGCTGTCAAAGATGAAAGAATCAAGAAACATCTTCCTGCATGTTGCTCTCCTCTCTATTTTCCGCCAAGAGCTTAAGGAAATTAATACACTAAGTCTTGGACTAGGAAGCTGCGTTTCTGCACTATGCTGCTGGCATTGCTGTGACTGAGGCTAAAGAGGCTTTCAGCCTTGCAAGGTCAGCATCATTAACTCAGGCTGTTGGAAAGCACAGATCATGGAATGAGACCCACACTTCTCACAACAGAGTTTCCAGCTTTATCCACTCATAATCCTTTCCTCTCTTTTAATGCATCTAACATAAGAAGCATAAAGAATTTGCAGGCTCCCTAACCTCCTCTTGCTCAACCACGTTTTTCCTTCTCAAAGCTCCACAGAAGCCTTTGAAGCTCTGCTGCTAAAGGTGGGCCAACACCAGGAGTGCGGAGCCTCTGCCCTGTGTTGTTTACAGTCAGATGCTGGATTGTTCCCTTGAACTCTCCTCATCTTCCCCTCCAATTCCTAGCCCTACCTGGATTTTGAAACACTGATTTCCTTACAGCTAACAAGAGATGTTACTTACCTCTTTCTCTTCCTGATATACAGAACCTGAAGGAGAAAGAAAATCATCATTACAAACAGCAGCATGGGGAACAACTGGGAAGAAGAATTTTGGGTAGAGAGCACCCAGAGGAGGTATAGCAAGTCTGATGTCATTGTGCACCAAAGCAGAGGAAAGCAAAAAGTGACAGAAGTGACAACTGGAACTGATGTTCTGTACACATCAGTGTAAGCTTAACAGTGCATCAAGGCTGACACTAGTGCTTGAGTGGCCTGCTATTAGGTGTGTTAGTAGTAGTCAGAATGTTAGGTGTGTTTTAAGTGTAGCTCAGCAGATTTCTAGTGGTTGGAGGCCATATGTTGCAGTTTTAGAACGGCTGAAGAACCTTCTCTTTGTAGTATTCTCCTGAAGATTTCCTACAGCATAGAAGCAGTTACCCCCTCCCCAGTACAAAGGGAAGAAGGAAAGAGGGCATGCTCAGTGACTTGCCTCGTGTCAGCCAGTAAGAGTGGCTGTCCTGGGAGGAAAGTGAGGCTTTTGGCCTCCAGAGCCTTGTTCCGAGAACTACGAACGCTGGCTGTTGCTCTCGGGAACTTATGACCATTTCCAGGACAGTGTTTCCAGGTTCTCTTTAGGGGCTTTTGGAGAAACTCCTCCTTGGGTCTGCAATGAAATTTTGCAGTAGTCCCTTTCCATAGGCTCCTCTGCTGCTTGTGTTAGCGAAGCCCTTCCTCACACGAGGAACGCGAGCTTGCTGCTACCTTCATTCTCTGTTGGTAGGTAAATGATCCAGTTATATATTGAAAGAACTGCAGTGCTTGCATTGTCTGTCAGACTCAGAACTATAGCTGTTGATTAATGGCAGGGTTAGTTACATGCAGCAAATCCTTGAGGACTCTGCTGATACCCGAGCAAAGAGAACCTCAAAAATGCAGTCTAGAATGAGTCTAGCAAAAACGGATTCAGTCTGCATCAGTTCAAAAAGACATGCCCACAGAGGAGATTAACAGGGTCCCGGCCTGCTTTAAAAGTTAAGCTGGATGAACTTTCCTATGGGACGCTGGTGTTGACAAGGTTTAAATCAATGCAGCTGTTCCAGTTAACAAGTCAAAACAGACTGACTTGTCAGTCTGCCATTGCTTATTTCAATTGAACTTCCTGTCGCTATTAAAAATAAATACTAATGTTATTTATGGTTTCCTCTAGACCTGCTGAGCAGCCTGCTCTGCCTAGACCCCAGGGAGACAGAAGAAATACTGGAGCACCAGTCCTACCAGCTCTAGGTATGCCTTTAATATAATATAGAAGTTAATTCAAATCAGCCCTAGAACTCCGTTGCCACCCTTCACCCGCAGCAGATAGAAATACTTAGTAGTGTCTCTTACCATAGCTACAGCCAACCCAATCACAGTAATGATCCCAAAGGACAGCAGCACGGCGCTCATGCTGGGTCCGCTGCTGGCCACATCTGGGATTTTGGTGCTGTTGAAGCTAGTAGTCTCAGGGCTCACTGTAGCTGTTTCTGGTACAGTTGCATCCAGAGTTGTTCCTGCGTCTGGTTTGGCTGTTGTGCTGCTGCTGTGGTATAAGTCACGTGCAGAAGGTGAGCTGGAATTCATCCTGCCAGCTCTTAGCGTCTTTTACCAAGCTGCTGTGCCCTCCACTCAAGAGACAGGTGCCAGCTACAGCACCAGAGAGTTTCCCCTCGTTTCAAGGACCCTCACATGTGATCTACCTCACAGCCTCATCAATGATGGCTTTTCTGTGTAGGAGCCACACAAGTTTCTTCCTAGGAAAGAATGAGAACAGATGCACAGTGCAAAGCTCTTAGAGATGGCAGAACCTTTTCCACAGCTTAACTAGTATAGTTTTCGAGAGCAGCTCACAGATGCCCACTCAATTTTTTTTTAAGTGCATTTTTCAGAGGCACTGAGAGCCCCCAACGTCCTGCGTGGTTCAGTCACCACTTAACTGAGCTGAGGCCAGTCACCACTTGCTACTTCAGCTTGGCCTCCCTGCAGCAATTGGCAGAGCTGTGTAGTGTCTCAGAACCCCTCTGTCTTCAGTCTGCTACAGGATGAGCTAGGCAGCCTTCATCCATACAACAATAACAGGACCTCTCTTCTTTTCCTCTTTTGCTTTCAACTTACAGAAAGTTTCAGAGATCTCATCCATCAAAATGGCACTCAGCTCTGACACATCTGTATTTTGGACCCAGTAAAAATCACCCTGAAGTATCACAGAATGGCCAGGGTTAGAAGGGACATCAAGGATCTCCAACCCCCCTGCCATACTCAGGGCCACCAACCTCCACATTTAATACTAAACCATGTTGCCCAGGGCCCCATCCAACCTGACCTTGAACACCTCTAAGGATGCGGAAACCGCAGCCTCTCTGGGCAGCTGTTCCAGCACCTCACCACTAGAAGTAGAACTTCCCTGCTGTGGTGGTGGTGGCTGGTGATTAATAAGTCACTGCACTATGTACCTCTCCATTGTCCCTCAGCCCATGCACTCTGCAGAGGCAGCTTCTTTAAAGCAGTGGGTTGCACCGGTCCCCATCTGCTACTAAAGATGGTATTTCTACAGTCTCCCATGAAAGCACCCACACAGGCTTACTCATGCACCGCTAATTATTGGTATTAATTTTAAAACTGATCCCATTTTGGATTGGAGTTGTGCAATTTGACAGATATATTCATACTGAAAACATGAAAGGCTTTAATTGTTTCATGTTTCTATTGTGCAAATGATCAGGAGTTGCAAAACACCATGGGATGATCCTACAGGAAGTATTTGCACAACTTCGTTTGTAAGTTCTCTGTATGTGACATCAGGCCCACAATTACTTTAGTGAAACACAGCTACCTCTGGAGCAGAGCGGTGCAGATCTCAAGAACTACCACAGCAGACTTCTGATCATTTTTCTGTAGTTCAGCAGACATTACATCTCCAAACTGGAATGCAAAGGGACATGGGTTAATGAGCTCTGAATAGAAAAAGATGTGCCCGCAAAGATAAATGAGCTGTTGTTCAGCTCCACTGTTCTATTCTGGGCAAGGTTATTGCACACTTCTTATTACTGTGATACCTCTCTGCCGTCCACGGCTGCATTAAGCAGCACGATTAACATCTGTCACTACCAACCGAAGCAGAGTCATCGTGCAAGGCAAGCAGCAGCGGGGCCGGGCGGGGTCCGCCAGCAGCACGAGCGGGCGGTCAGCTCATACGGCGCTCGTCCCGGGCGCGCAGGTCTCTCCCACACAACTTTGTGAAGGAGGTGGTGAGAGACGCCGAACCGCCACGAGTTTCTAAATCAGCGTGAAGGCAGACGGCACTTGTGCTCCGGTCACGCTTAACAGCGTGGCGAGAGGCGGCTCACCGCGCCGATCGGAAGGCGTCCCTCACCGACCGAGCGGCCCAGGAAGGGGCGCCCCGCGCTGCCGGCACTGCGGCACGGGCTGCACCGGGAGGGCTCCGCACAGGGCAGCGCGGCGCCGGGCCGCGGGGCGACGGAAGCAGAACGCTTCTCCGGTTGCGCTCCGCCCCTCACGGCGCCGCGGGGGCGCAAAGCGCGAGGCCTCCGCCGCCCTCTCGGCAGCACCGCGGAGCCGAGTCCGGCCGGCCCCGCCTCCCAGAGCCCGGCCGCCGCCCGCGGGACGGCCGCTCGTCACGGGCCGGGCGAAGACGGATCCGCCCCAAGGTTCGCGCCGCGGCCCGGCCCGCCGCCCTCGCGCCCTTCCCCGGAGGCGGCCGCGCTGCCCGCGCCGGGGCCGCCACTTACGCAGCGCTGCACGCTGAAGCGGCTCCCCCGAGCGCAGCCGGCGGTGAGGCCGCGCCCTCGACCGCAGGGCCGCGCTGCCCGCAGGGGGGCGGGCCGGCCCCTCGGCGCTCGCCGCCGCCTCGCGGCCGGTAGCCCCGCCCCTCCGCCCAGCGCCCCCGAGCGATTGGCCGACGGGCGCAGGTCGCGAGTCGCGGTTGGTCGGCGCTGCCGTCGCTCGCGCGCGCGGCGACGAAGCGGTTCTCTCCCGCGCCGCCCTCGCTGAGGTGAGGGAGCGTGTTGTGGGCGCGCCACCCCCGCTGAGGTGGCGTGGCCGGGGGCGCTGCGTGTGCTGGGTGGCTGAGGCAGAGTCGCCGAGCTGAAGCGAGCTGAGTGAGGTAGGGCTGCTGCCGCCCGCGGCAGCTCGCTAAGGGCAGGACCTGTGCCGGGCCTCGGGTCGGTCAGCCCGCAGAGCGGCTGTGGGAGGCTCGTCCTGCGCCCTGGCCGCAGCAGTGCAGTTAATTCCTTCGTCCTTCTTCCTGTGGCGGTGTTCCGGGCCTCGGGCCTGACTCTTTCTTCGGTTGCTCCGTGCTGCAGCGTTGCCCGCTGGGAGCCGACCCGGCCCCGCGTATTCCGAGTTTCTCTTCCTCTGCTTTCGCGCTGTGAGCTGTTGTGGTTCCCCCTTGTCTGCAGCCTGGCGATGGGACAACGCGGCAGGCTGCTGACCTACGTAATTAGCCTTTGCGAGCGTACCTGCTAGCCTGAGACTTGGGAGTTTGGAGGAGGAGGAACCAGAAGGGAGTGAAGGGCTTTGTGCAGCGATCCGGCCCGCGATGCTGGAGCAGTCTGTCAGTGGCTTGCGGCAAGCGGCAGGGCTGTGCCTGCAGGCCCGCTCCCTTCTGCTCAGCCACGAGCACCGGGTGATCTCAGCGTTGCCCGTGGAGCTTGGTTAATCCTTTGTTACTCTTAAGGGTGTGAGTAGCTGGTTTGTACCCGTGGGTGTTGGTCGAGCAGCAGTCTGCATTCCATTCAGAAGGGAACTTGCAGTCTTTGGCTTCTGGGCATTCAGGTTGTACTTCTGTCTCTTCTTTCTAGGCCAGCAGAGCTGCAAGCCTGGTGACCTTTTTCTTCTGCCCTGAAGAGCATCTGCTAATTGTGATCAGGTGGTGCTTAGCCCAAGTGGCTTGTGGCTGCATTGAGTGTTGTGTGAGTCTCTTCATGGATTAGATCAGCTGACAGAAACAAGGAGCCCACGTGGAATCCAGGAGGTGACTTTGCAACAATGAGATGCGTCAGCCCCTCACTTTTCAGGAGGTTCTGGGGACTTTTGCCTCAGTATGTGTCAGCGGGACCTAGTCAAAGTCCTAACCTCAGTTCCAAACAGTCGTCTTTGAGACAGAGCTGCAGTGTAAGACCTGGGCTGCTGACTGCCCCTGATGTGGTCAGCTACTGGCAAAAGGTGTTTGAGAAGAACGGGATCCCTGAAGCACGAGAATCCAGTGAATATATCGTGTCATTTGTCTTGGGAGCAAAAACAGTTAAGTCATGGAAAAGGAGTAAGATCTGCGTGTGCCCCTTGCTTTATGTTTTTTGGACTAATCCCCTTACACTTCTTTTTATCTCACTTACAGGAGTCAGAACAGCTTTTCCCTCCCTCAGAGGGCAGAGAGCGTGGGATATAATTTATTAATGCAAGTAAAGTTCTTGGGATCTCCTATGTGCTCTCTTTGCAGGGACTGAAATGTTACCCATGACATATACACCAGCATAACGGCCTGACTTGTTTGGTGGAGTGATTCTTTATCTTATCTACACTTTAACTACCTAAACTGCAGCCATACAGGTTTCTTGTTGAACAGGCAGATAGATTCTCCTTGTCGTTTGGGGTTTCAAAGAGTGCCCTCTGTATGTGTTTGTTGTTCTGCTGGCTCTGCCTGCAGGGTGCAGACAACACGCAAGTTGCACAAGTGGACAGGTTTTAAAGTGATGTTGTCTTCAGTTTCAGAGCTTGGACTCCGAAAAACTCCGCTCTCCGCTTACAGCAGTGCAGCAGGAGCAGATCCAGCAACTGAGCTGCAAGCGACTGGAAAGGTGGGAGAATCATCTTACTGTCATTCTTGGGAGAGTTTTCTCTAAAAGAGGGGAAAAAAGGGGTGGGAAAGAAGGGGGTGGGGTGGTTCTTTGATTAAATGGAGTTTTCTGTATTTTAATCTGTTGCCTCTTTTCTTTCAGCTTACATTTTACCACAAAAAATCTGATTTTATCTTCTTTACTCCCTTCCACCAGATGTATGTAGTTATTGATGAATTTTCCACCTCACTTGAGCTTTTCATTTTCAAGCCAGGTCTGTCCCTGCTTTCTCAGTCTCTTCTTGTATGTCAGGTCCTCCAATCCCTTAGTCATCTTAATGGCCCTGTGTTGGATTTGCTCCAGTACATCCATGCCTTTTCTGTAGTTAGGAGCTCAGCACTGGACACAGAGGACTCTGGTCAGGAGCGACTTCACCTTAGTAAATCCATTCTGTTCTTAACATGTTTGGAAATTATTTCCAGGATTATTTGCTCCCTCAGTTTTTTAGGATTGAAGTGAGTTGACTGGCCCTTAGTTTCCCCAGTCCAGTGCTTGTCAAGACACTGTTTTGTGGAAGTGGAACTACCAGACCTTTCAAGGAGCTTGCCCATGCGTGTTGCACATGCAGTTGAGAGCCTCAGTGGCATCTAGATGTCCACCATCAAAGGGCTTGTGTGGTTAGCAATGAAGTAAGCATGGTAGTGAGAGCTTTTTATGTTACAAAGTGTAATCCTCGAGTGTTTTCATTTGTTTTTGCCTGACACAGAATGCCAGTGCAATATGTGCTTGGTGAGTGGGACTTTCAGGACCTGAATCTGAAGATGAGACCTCCAGTATTTATTCCTCGTCCTGAAACAGAGGTATGAAAGTAGGAAACATGGAAGGGTTTTGAATCTACACACTGCATTGATATGAATGTGCTTGGTGGGATTATAGTGATGAAAAGGTCGGATGGTTTCTAAAATAGGGCATCCTAAGCTTGTGACCTGGAACTGGAGCTGGTGAACTTTCACCTTCTGGCTCAGAGAAAGAGATTTTGCAAGCTAGTATGTTCTTTGATTGCACAGAGATCCACCTTCATTGAGGCTTGCTTTTCTTATTTCTGCTGTGGTAGAGACTCCTTGAATATTGTGCCCCTTTACTTTTGTATTGGAACTACTCAGAGTTGTCCAGTGTAGTAGAAAGCTACTACTGGAAAAAAGGTGGTGGACTCCATTGGGCTTCTTTGTCCGCATGCAGATTAAGACAGTGCAGGCTGGTAGAAATGGCACCTACTAATCACCTGCTGGCTCCACAGTGATTTCTGGGCAAGTACTGGAAATTGAACTGTTGTTTCCTTTCCTAGGCTGACCCATAGGTAGGTTCTGACCTGGGCTTGAATTAAATGTGATTGTGAATTGTAAAAGTGGAAGCAATAGCCATATACATTCAAATTGAAACTTTATTTTGCCTAGTGTGCTAGGAAAAAGCTCAGGAGTTATATAGTGGTGCTTTCTCTAATAGTATTCTAGCTTTCAGCTTATGGGCACCCTAGTAAGCAAATCTTTGTTTACTGCTCTTTAAGAGTTGCTTTTCTCTGCTGTTTTTGTTTTTCTTCTGATAATTGGTTTTCTTTTTTGCAGTGAATGTTAACTTTTGGAGATGGAATGATTACCATAGCCTGTCCAATTAGAATTCCGATAGACAAATGATCAGAGAAATGGCTCCTGTGCTAGTAGCCCTTCGCTGTATAAAGAATGCTGTTTTGAATGCATTAAGCACAGCATGGCCAGCTGGTAAAAGGTCATTCTCCCACTGTATTTAGCACTTTGTTGGTGCTACCTCACCTTGAGTACTCAGTGCAGTTCTGGACTCCACAGTTTTAAAAGGACAGTAAGGTCCTTGAATGCAGCCAGAAGAGGTAATGGCTCCCTGAGGAGGGAAAGCAGAGGGAGGTGCCAGGTTCCAGGGAGCTGATGGCAGGATGGGAACAGCATGGAGATGGGCTAGGGGAAGCTGAGACTGGGAATTAGGGAAAATTTCCTTTCTGTGAAGGTTGTAAGGTAAGGTGGCAATGCTCTCAGTAATGTGCTTTTAACTTATGTTATCCTTGCAGTGGTCAGTTCTGTGCTGATGAAGTCTGGAGACAACTGCTCAAGAAATGGTTTTGCTAGTTGGAGCCTGATGATAGTTAGCATTGTTCTTGTTGATGGTATTTCTGCAGTGGTTGATTCAAGAGAGTATTTTCAGCCTCTGACTGCCACTAATTCCTGAATGCAATATGAGCACTAAACCCAAAGAGAACTTTCTGCAAATCAAACCATCTGTTGTCAGGCTTCCTCTGGTACTGTGCTCTCATTCCATGCAGTGCCAGGCTTCAAACAAAGGCCTATTGTGTACTGTGGAAACCAGGGCTGCTAATGCCTGTGAATGTTGCTAATGGTGCCCACATGTGGGATTTTGGTAGGAGCATCTCTGCTGAAAGGCAGTGTCCTGTCAAAATGCAGCACTCTATAACATCTTGTGTTTTAAACCCCTTCGTGTACCCTGGGGCCAAAAGTCCAGCATTAAGCAGCTTAACCCAAACCTTGTGTTTGTGGGAAAACTTTATTTGATGTGTCAGATACTTAACATGGAGGTACATTTTTAGTACATTTGTTTTGAAAGACCAGAAGCTCACGATAGCTCAGGAATGAAGCTCCATTGGCAATTGAATTTATGAAGTAGTTCTGCCTCAGCAAGCAGCATCAGCAGACAATAATCTGGAAATGGAAGGTGAACAAATGTGGCCTTTCTTGTAGGGAGCAGTGAATGGCTGCACATTCAGGAGGAAATGAACAGTGCAGCAAGAGAGAAGGGATGGAAAAAAGAATCCAGGTGGAAGAAGAGCTCAAAAGGAGCAAAACAGATAAAAGGGCTGGGAAGGGCTGGAACAAGCAGGCCTGCAGTCTGGGCCTGTGGATCCTGGCTTGCAGAATGGCTATGGGTCCTGAGTCTGTTGGCTTCTCTTCTACTTCTCGTCTTCCTCCTGGACAACATGCTCGATCACATAAAGAATGAGCATGTGATCCGAGACAGCCAGCACGGCTTCATCAAAGGAAGGTCATGCCTGACTAATCTTGTGGCCTTCTATGATGGAGTGATGGCATTGGTGGACGAAGGGAAGGCGACCGATGTCATTTACCTGGACCTGAGCAAGGCCTTTGACATGGTCCTCCACCACATCCTCATCTCCAAATTGGAGGGAAGTGGATTTGATGGGTGGATGACCTGATGGATAAGCAATTGGTTGAAAGGCCGCAGACAGAGGGTGGTCAATGGCTCTATGTCCAGGTGGAGGCCGGTAACAAGTGGTGTCCCCCAAGGGTCTGTCTTGGGACCGGTGCTCTTTAACATCTTTATTAATGACATCGATGAGGGAATTGAGTGCACCCTCAGCAAGTTTGCTGACGACACCAAGCTGAGTGGTGCGGTTGATACGGTGGAAGGAAGGGATGCCATTCAGAGGGACCTCGACAGGCTGGAGGGCTGGGCTCGGGTGAACCTAATGAGGTTCAACACGGCAAAGTGCAAGGTTTTGCATTTGGGCCGGAAGAACCCCAGGCACCCGTACAGGCTGGGAGGAGTGGTCCTTGAGAGCAGCTCGGCAGAGAAGGACCTGGGGGTCCTGATGGACGAGAGACTGAACATGAGCCAGCAGTGCGCTCTGGCAGCTCGAAAGGCAAATGGGATCCTGGGCTCCATCAGGAGAGGGGTGGTCAGCAGGGACAGGGAGGTGATTGTCCCTCTCTACTCGGCTCTTGTGAGGCCCCACCTGGAGTACTGTGTCCAGGTGTGGAGCCCTCAGTACAAGAAAGACAGAGAGATCTTGGAAAGGGTCCAGAGGAGAGCGACTAAGATGATCAGGGGGCTGGAGCACCTCCCCTATGAGGACAGGCTGAGGGAGTTGGGCTTGTTCAGCCTGGAGAAGAGAAGCTGCGGGGTGACCTCATTGCAGCCTATCAATACCTGAAGGGAACCTACACCCAGGAGGGGAGTAAACTCTTCAAAAGGGCTGACAACAGCAGGACTAGGGGAAATGGATCCAAGTTGAAGGAGGGAAGATTTAGGTTGGATGTTAGGGGGAAGTTGTTCACAAGGAGAGTGGTTAGGCCCTGGAACGGGCTGCCCAGGAAGGTTGTGGATGCCCCGTCCTTGGATGTGTTCAAGGCCAGGTTGGACGGGGTCCTGGGCAACCTGATCTGAATGTGTACATTTGGTGGCCCTGCTAAGCAGGGGGGTTGGAACTACATGATCCTTGAGGTCCCTTCCAACCCGGCTGATTCTGTGATTCTGTGGTTCTGTCTTCTACTGAAGTCTGCCCCCAGCTCCTGCTGTTGCCTTCTCTTAGGGTGTTATAACACTCTGGGAAAGAGCCACTTGGTCTTGAGGCTTGTAAAGTAGAGGAAGTGCGATGCATTAGGAGTCCAGCAGGCTTCTGTCTAAGAGCTAAATGTGTTTGGTTTCCAGCAGCAGCGTGGCACCTTTGCTTTGGCTGCTCACGCTCTTTCTGGTGTCAGGAACTCCACACGGATGTGCAGAATGGTTGAGGTTGGCAGCAATTTCTGGAGATTTGTCTGGTTTGATTTGCCTGTGTGAAGCAGAGTCAGCTGGAGGTTTTGTCTGTTGATGTTTGTTTAAAAATGAAAAAAAAAAAAGTAGAGGAGAGTCTTGAACTGTTTTGGAATGCTTTAAACTTTCATGGTGACATAGATGTAACTAAAACAGGCACTCTTAAACCAGGCTACAAAGTTTCTTCTCCTGAGCGGAAGGTGCCAAATGATGAAAGAGTGAGTTTAAAGATGAGAGCTTTCACAATAGCTGCTTGCATGTTCCCACTACTTTCATCTGGATTGGGGGAGCTAAGTGCAAGTTCACAGCCAGGATGATTCCCTGATGTTGCTCCATATAAGTGAGCACAAACTCTTGCCAACAGAGCTGTTAAATTCAAAGTTGTGTTAAGAGAATCTTACATGTAACCAGTGCTCTGGCCACTTTGTCTCATGTCTTCTCAGCAGCCCAGCTGTGGCTGCATTCCTTCTTTGTATTCCTCAGGAATGCATCCCACCTAACCTTTTCCCAGAGTTTCTCTTCCTCTGGGAAGTTCACTGAGTTTCTGAAGCTTTCACTTCAGTGTTCTTCATGCCTCTGAATTCCACTGTGGGGAGGTGTGCCCTGGTGCTAAAAAAAGAAATTGATCTCATTTACCAGATTTACCTGGAAGGCGTGAGCTGACACTGCATTTGTCAGAGCTGTAGGAGTGAGATCTTGAAACCTCTGGTGGTGGTGTGAGGGCGGGCTGGAAAGTTCAACATCTTTCATATGGGAGAAGATGTGGGTGCAGCTGTGAAGCCTTTGTGTAGTATGGGAAGGAGTAGCAGGAGGATTAGACTTCACTACTTTTTTCTGGGCTTTGTCTTATCCTTTTGCAGGCATAGTGAGGCACTCTGTGCTGTGCTTCAGATTTCATTGATATGTTTTGCTTAGGAATGTTTCTGTGATTTCTGTGACAGCATTGGGTAATGTCTGCAGTTGACTCTTGTAAATTTGCTGTGTTGATCTTTCTCTTCAGGAAAAATGTATTCACATCACAGCAAATCCTGAGCCTTGACCCAAGCTCTTGGCGCTGCATGAGAGAGAGCTTTCTTGTGATCTGATGCTGGGGAATTTTCTCAGACAGGAAGAGCATGTGGACAAGATCCAGCTATTTGTCAGCACCTGGTGCAGGACACTGCTATGGGCACGTGCTGCTTCCAGGAACCACATACTATGTGGAACCAGTTGCCCAAAACTGAGCTGGCGTCCACATTCTTTCCTTTGTTTACATTGGTCTTCTCTGACT